AGTAAATACAGCTATTTATAAATATATAACATTGAGAGTTTGAAATTGCTGCTCTCCATGTACATCCCCCACAATATGGTTTACAATTTAAATTTTTCAGAATTTCCTAGTATTAAAAGATGGATAGTTTTTAAATTAATTATATCCAAACTCTTAGGTCCTATTGATTACTAATAGCTTTAAAGAATCAAGCAAGAATCATTACTATTGATATTACTAGGTTAGTATTTACCCAAAGCATGTGGCTGTCATATTTATTGGAAGCATTTGAATAAACCAAAAAAGCATGAAAAGATCAAGGAGTTGACTACTAAAAATTGATTTCAGGCCTTTATAACATATAAGATACATTTCCATATATCAAAAGGCCCCAACATTTGCCTCATGTGAGTCAGAATCACTTCTACACATTGTTATGATTAACTTTGCAATTTCCTCCCAATTACAAGTCAGTACTACTGATAGAAAGCCACCAGTATGTGCTGTCCCAGGTTCTCATTGACTGAATCACAGAGCAGGCATGACAAGCAATGGCTCAGTAAGCAACATCAAGTTCTAAGTGGACATGGGGTGGAAGTACAAAAATGGGAAGAAAATGGTTGCTGGCCTCAGGCAGGTGACAGGCCACACCCCTAAGAAACAGAAGACAGAGACACTGAAAAGGAAACATGATCTGATGCTGGAAAGACAGAACAAGGTCTTAAGTGTCAAGCGGTACTAAAAACGCGATATATGTTCTCTGCATGGTTTATAAAGCAGGGTTAAGTATATTTTTAAAAGAAGTTGAAGTAGATAATCAGAGTCTGATTCACCTAACTGGAAATATTAAATCTATAGCCATGTGGCTTATACTCAGATTTATCTCATTAATGAAAAAAATGTTAAAACAGAAAAGCCTGAGCCCACCGTATCTTAAAAGCACATGGGCACAGTACTATTATTACCTTGTAGCCACTGGTCCAGGGTATTATCAATAGTGCACTTCACAACAGGGAGGAATTCAGAGTTCATAAAGAGCCCTCGCTTGGGGTGGTTCTGCAGTCGCTCCTGATGGCTTCGGGAGCTGAAAAACTCTAACACCAACTTTATCTGCCAAAGTTCAGAGGTCTCAGACATTTCTCTTCTTCCAAGTCTTCTTATAACCTTGAAGAGGAAAGAGGAACGGCAATCCATTTAAAGAAAGAGAGAAGTGCTCTGTCTCTTCCTCCAAACTGTATACTAGAGTGTTTCTTAAATGTGGCTCATAAGATCAATAAAGAGTGGTGGGGGGATCCATTCTATGTTTTGATGCAGTCTGCCCCACAGAGGAGCCCTCTTTCTCCAATACAGCCCCCAGGTGAGCGGCTTACAGGTAAAAGTGACAAAGGCAAATGAGCTCATTTGTGGCTCAAAAGCTCCAAATACCCAAGACCCAATAGGTCTACAGCCAGTCATCTCTGGAAAACTCAGACGGGGTACAATGACATGGCAGGGATCAGGCTAGGGATCCCCAGGGGCAGAAGGCAAGAACAATACTGGTAATACTGCTCTTGAGACCCATCTACAAAGTCACCATAGCTGCAACCAGAGATGTTCATCCACAGAGACTTGCCCATGACTATTAAAAGGTGGGGGTTCAGAGAGTAAAAGAGGAGACATACTCTCAGCCAGCAACTGAAAAACAAAACTCATTGCTTGGCTGCTGCACACAGAGAGTGTGAGAAGCAGTGCTGGCATGGATACCATAAATTCCTACTTTCTAGTCAAAAAAAGGTGAATTCCAGACAATAAGAACATTGTGGACCTACTTGGTTATATTGGAACTTGGCTTTTAATTAATCATGTTACTTAACACAGCGTGGTTTTTTAGGTTTGGAGGAATTATCCCCTGCCTAAATGTATATCCCC